AGCCTGACCAACATGGTGAAACCCCATCTGTACTAAAAATACAAAAAATTAGCTGGACGTAGTGGCAGGCACCTGTAGTCCTAGCTACTCAGGAGGCCGAGGCAGGAGAATCTCTTGAACTCGGGAGGCGGCAGTTGCAGTGAGCTGAGATTGCGCCATGGCACTCCAGCCCTGGTGACAGGAAAAAAAAAAAAAAAGGCCAGGTGCGGTGGCTCACACCTGTAATCCCAGCTCTTTGAGAGGTTGAGGTGGGTGGATCACCAGGTCAAGAGATCAAGACCATCCTGGCAGGCCAACATGGTGAAGCCCTGTCTCTACCAAAAATACGAAAATTAGCTGGGCATAGTAGTACACGCCTGTAATCTCAGCTACTCAGGAAGCTAATGTAGCGGGTGTTTGTGGCTCAACGCAACCTCCGGCTCCCAGGTTCAAGTGCTTCTCCTACCTTAGCCTCACCAGCAACTGGGATTACAGGCATGTGGTAGCACGCCCAGCTAATTTTGCATTTTTAGTAGACGGGGTTTCTCCATGTTGGTCAGTCTGGTCTAGAACCCCTGACCTCAGGTGATCCACCCGCCTCAGCCTCCTAAAGTGCTGGGATTACAGGTGTGAGCTACTGCACCCGACTATTAATTACTATCAGCTGCAAATAATTCTGTCACACAGATCACACAGATGTGGTTGGTTCTGCTTGAAAAAGTATCTTATGGATAATTCGTTTGACTATCATAATGTGTGTTGAAAAAACAAAGTAGAGATGGGGTTTCACCATTTGGTTAGGATGATCTTGATCTCTTGACTTCGTAATCCATTCGCCTCAGCCTCCGAAAATGCTGGGATTATAGGCCTAAACCATTGCCCCCAGCCATAATTTTTATTTTTTAAGTTTTGAGACAAGGTCTCGTTCTGTGACCCAGGCTGGAGTGCAGTGGCGTAGTCACGGTTCACTACAGCCTTGGCCTCCCAAGCTCAAACAAGCCTTCCACTTCAGCCTCTTAAGTTGCTGAGACAATAGGCATGTGCCACTGTGCCCAGCCATTTTTTTTTTTTTTTGGTAGCAGTAGCGTCTTATTATGTTGCTCAGGCTAGTCTCAAACTCCTGGGCTCAAGCCTCCCAACCTTAGCCTCCCAAAGTACTGGGATTACTGACGTGAGCCACTATGCCCAATTAATGTGATTTTTAACTTTGACTCTGGAATATAGCCAACACAAATAGCGCCTACATGAAACCTGGCCCTGCCCACACCCTTATCCTCCTCCTCCTGCACACAGTCCATCATCAGCTTGAGTGAGGATCCATTTATAGGATCCAGACAGATGAAATATTTCCACCAAAAGACTCATTCCTGAGGTCAGTGAATTAGGGTCCTGTCCCTTAAAAATGTAAACACCCCTGGGAAGGGCAGATGTGTGGGTAAAATCACCTTGCCTTTAACCCTTCGGAATTTGTAGCTCTGTTAACTTTCCTTTATGCATATGGCCCTCAATAGCTCCAAGCTTGATGTCCCCAAGGCTGCAGAGCTCTGCAGGAGACTGGAAGGGTATGGGCCAGGAAGTCAAGATTGTGAAGATAGTTCTTCCCAGCTTGGATCACTGATGGCCTTAGGTAGTGAAGACTTTGAGGGAATAAAGACCTCCAAGTTAGCTCTCAGCAGTCTATGCTGAATGTGACACCAGGATTGCTTTCCTATCTCCATTCTGGACTCTGTCCTGCCTTCCTCTCGGTCCCGTGAACCTGGCTGGATTCCCCTCTGACCTCACCCCACTCCCCTTTTGCTTGAATTCTTATCTCAGTTACTGACACCATCCATTGTTCAGCTGTTAAATGTTAGCGATTTTTGTTTTCTCTCACTACACAGCCAAACCATCTGAACTGTTTCCTAGTTCCTTCCCCTCCTCCTCAACCTCAGGACTACTGCTTGAGTTTAGGGCACCTCTAGTCTCCAGTCCAACCCCAAGACTGTTGCCAGATGGTCTTTTTGATGGTGATGCTGATTATGTCACACTTGTGTCTTTTCTGATGCCCAAATCTTCAGTGTGGTACACAATGACCTTCACAGTCTGGTACCCACCACCTTTAATCTTATTATCCACATCTCTATTCTCCAGCCATACCAATTTACAAACCTTTGCTAAATGCCCCAGCAGACAGGCTGCCTCACCTTTGTCGGTGCTATTCCAGGGTCTCAAATGGAGTTTCCAGTCTCAGTTTGGCAAACCCTCATTTATCCTCAAGAGCTAGATCAAACGCTCTGTACTCTTGGATTTCACTGTTCTTTCCCTTGCATTCCCATTTAATTTTGCATAATTGTCTGTCTTCTCACCTAGACTGGATCTACTTGAGGGCAGGGACCTACCCCTGCCCTTAGCATGGTGTCAAAGTCAACAAACACTCAAATGCTTAATATATGATAAAATTCATATATATATATTTTTTTTCTTTTTTTTTTTTTTGAGACAGAGTCTTGCTCTGTCACTAGGCACCAGGCTGGAGTGCAGTGGTACGATCTTGGCTTACTGCAACCTCCGCCTCCCGGGTTCAAACAATTCTCCTGCCTCAGCCTTCTGGGTAGCTGGGATTACAGGCGCACGCCACCACGCCCAGCTAATTTTTTTGTATTTTTAGTAGAGACAGGGTTTCACCACGTTGGCCACAATGGTCTCGATCTTTTGACCTCGTGATCCGCCTGCCTTGGCCTCCCAAAGTGCTGGGATTACAGGCTTGAGCCACCATGCCCGGCCCCATAATATAATTTTTTTTTTGAGACAGAGTCTCGCTCTGTTGCCCAGGCTGGAGTGCAGTGGTATAATCTCAGCTCACTGCAACCTCCACTTCTCAGGTTCAAGGGATTCTCCTGCCTCAGCCTCCTGAGTAGCTGGGATTATAGGCACGTGCCACCACGCCTGGCTAATTTTTGTATTTTTAGTAGAGACAGGTTTCACCATGTTGGTCAGGCTGGTCTCAAACTCCTGACCTGGTGATCTACCCACCTCGGCCTCCCAAAGTGCTGGGATTATAGGTATGAGCCACCGTGACTGGCCAATATAATTATTATTAATTACTTTGAGACAGGGTCTCGCTCTGTCATCCAGGCTGGCGTGCAGTGGTGCATTAACAGCTCACTGCAGCCTCAACCTTCTGGGCTCCAACTATCCTCCTACCTCAGCCTCCTGAGTAGCTGGGACTACAGGTGCAGGCCACCATGATGCCCAGGCTGGTCTCGAACTCCTGGGCTCAAGCAATCCACCAACCTCGGCCTCCCAAAGTGCTGAGAGGTGTGAGCCACTGGGCCCACCATGACTGCTGAATTAAATAGTTGGTGCTCAGTGTATACTTCATGTGGTGCTGATACGCTGTTTTGTGTTTTGGTCTTTCCATGTGCATGAGGTGTGACCAAGCCTTGATATGACTCATTACTTAACAAGCACACCACAATTCATCTATCCAAATGAGGGCTGCGTCTTCAACACCTTTTTCATTTTGCAGGACTGGAAGCTTAGCTCAGTGATGCCGTCATTGCTTGAAACACTTTTGGAGTACCTCTCTTGGAAACAGTTTTGGCATTGATAGCACTTTCCTTTCAATATCATCCACGGTAGTGATTGTTTTTCATTTATTCAGCATTTATCATGCACTTCCCTATCCCAGGCACCAGGCTGGTTCTGGGTGAAAGATAAGATAAATCAGACATTACTCTGTCTTGAAGGAAGTTTCTGTTTGGCAAGGGAGATAAGATCTGGACAACCACCCAACACAAGGCTAAGTGATAATGCCCCAGAAGAGGTTGGATTTGAGTTTCGGAAAAAGCCAAAACTCTTTTAGTTTCAGCCTCCCGTCCACGTGGTTGATGGCACTGCCTGCCAGCACACTGCTCTAAGCCCATTAGTCCTCAGCATCTCCACACAAGGAGTCCAGCGTGTTTCCAGCACCTCCTGACCCAACAAGAGACTCCTGGGCATGTGTGTCTGAAGCCCAGACTCCCACCGATGGCAATACTCTTCTATAATACTCCGAGGCCTCCCAGCTAAACTGAGCTCTTTGAGGGCAGGTGCTGAGGGCTGATCCTGATCTTCACAGTGTCTGGACTCATAACACATCTTAGATGAATATTCATTGAGTCACTGAGCCCAAAAGGCAGGCGTCTTATGGCATGCCACAGGGACTTCAAACCGAGTGCCCTTTCTCCCATGTGGTTTACTCGTAGTGACGGTTTTACAGATGCCCAAGGGATAGGAGAGAAAAACGGAAAAGGCTAAAGGCAGGGAGGGCGAGCAAGGGGGCACTGGCGGCGGATCTGGGAATGGAGCCCGCGAGTTCCTGCTTCCTGGTTCCCTGGAGCAAGTGTCCTTTGGTGGGAGCCGCAGGGAAGGGAGCAGCCCTTCCTGCGCGCCGGGCGCCCGCCCCTTCCCCGGCCTCCCAGGGACTCGTGCGGAGGGACGCACGAGTGGCGGGGCTGGAGGCCGGGCCCAGTCCACCCCCGGGACAGCCCCACCCCGGCGAAGAGGAAGGCTCCCGGCTCCTGGGAAGGAGAGTCCTCACCGCGCCAGAAGTGGAGGGCCTGGGGCGCGCGACGAGCAGGCGAGGAGTTGGAGCAGGGAGATCAAAGGGCGCGTGGGGTCTGCGGCCGAGGTCCAGGTGGAGCGGGTCCCCGCAGTCCCTCGGCCCCCTCCCCCGCAGCCCGCCCCGGCCCAGCCCCGCCCCGCCCCGGCGGCCCTGCCCCTCGCCCGCCCGCGCGCGGCGCAGTCTCCTCCCCGAGGTGCCGGTGGCCCGGCCGCCACTCCCTCCGGCTCCCTCCCTCCCGCCGCGGCGCGCATCTCATTCCAGCCCTCATTCCGCGCATTCCAGCGTCCTCCTCGCACTCTGGAGTCCAGGGGGCGGGAGGGCCGCAGCTCCGGCGCCGCCGCGTCCCGCCAGGTGAGAGGCGCCCGCGTCCGCCGCACCCGCCGCCTCCCTCCCGGGCCGCGCGCCCCACGCCGCCGCCGACCGCTCGCGCCGCATGTTCCGCTGCTCTTTTCTTTCCGTAGTCCGCGTTCCCGCCTCGGACCTCTGCGCCCCGGCGCGCTTCGTCCCGACCTCAGGCTTCCCTACGCGCTCCGGCGCAGCCCGCGGCCCCTCTCCCGCTTCCCTCAGTCCGCCCCGCGCTCCCTTCCTTGCTCCCGGTTGACTCACTCCTCCAGGAATAGGGATCCCCGTGTTTTCCCGTCAGTCCCATTCTGGGAAAACTCCTCCCTCCGCGCGCTCCGCTCCGCTGGGCGCACCGGGGCCGGTCGGCGCTGGGTGGGCTTGGCCCAGCGGCCCCGCCTTCCCTGCGCCGCCCGTCGGCCCCGGCCCGACCCCGGCTCTGCGCGCTGACGCCCTGCCGTCCCCACACAGCGATCGCCGCTGCCGGAAGAGTTGGTGCTCGGGGCGGACTCCTGGGAACTGGCTTAGCGCACCCACCCCACCTTCCCGCACCCTGGGACCGGTAAGGCTGGGGAGCGGAGACTTGGTGGGACTTTGCTGGAGGGCAGGAGTCTGTTCCGTGCGTGCGGAGCTCCCTCCCGGGACAAGACTGGGAAGAGAGCGAGGCACGTGGAGGCGGCGCGACTGAGGCTGGTGGAGGCGAAGCGCCTCCAGGGGCTGGTAAGGGGGGTGGACACGCGGGACTTTGGGGGAAAGGAAAGGGAGGCCTGTGTGGAAACGACCGGAGAGGCAGAGCCGAGAGCATCGGCCACACAAGAGACCCAGCACCCTTGCCCCTTTTCTGCTGGGCCCTTTTCGAGCCTGGAAGGGAGCGAGCTGGAGGTGGGCAGACTGCCTGTTTCAAGTGCAGAGGCGATGCGAAAGTGGGGGGACCCCTGCAAAGGGTCCTACACCCCAGGGCTTGAGAAGCTGCTGTGTCCCCTGATGGGGACCAGTGGACCGATCCAGGGAGCAGAACTTCCAAACCCCAAAGTGAATATTTCCCCCTCGGTGCTCAGGCACAGGAGGCCCCGTGGACTGACTGCATCTGTGCTGAGTCTGTGTGACACCTGACTGCGAGTCCCCCTCGCTTTGGGTCTCTGTGAGGGTGATATCTGTTCACATGTGACTCACCTTGGCTTCCAGTGGGCGTATTTGTTTGTGTTGAACGTGAGTGACAGAGTGTGTGTATCCGTCTGCTTGAGAAGGGAGCTCTGTCTGAAAGTGTATCACACGTGTGATGCCATGTCTCTTAAGTATGTGTTTCTCTTCGAGGATGTTGGCTCTGGCTAGGACTGTTCCTCCTCCCAACATAGCCGTGGGGAAGATTCAGTGTCTCTGGTTGCGTGAGTTACAGGGATAATTTGACGGTGGTTTTGGAGTGTGTGGCCCCCAGGCTCGTTTCCTCTGACCGGGCAGAGCTGGAAGGAAGCGGTCTCCACCTGCCTCTTGCAGCTAGGAGGATTTCTCAGGGCGAGAGTCTTGTGCTTGCCTGGAATAGTTCAGAGAGCAATCTGGAGGCCGAAGGAAGTTGAGATGTTTGCCTATGGGGGGTCGGTTGGGTGGGTGAGATTTGGGAAGGTTTGTGGGGGTGGATCCCCGAGGAAGAGGAGACAGTTTTGAATCTGGAGACTTGTGTAAATAGTGCTCTTAAGTTGGCCCCGAGGACAAACAGATAGGGAAGTATACCAGCCTCAACTACTTTCTCTTGGTTTAACTCTCCTTGGAACTGACCAGGTAACCAGGTGGAAGAATCCCTCATTCTAGGCCGGGCGCGGTGGCTCAAGCCTGTAATCCCAGCACTTTGGGAGGCTGAGGCGGGTGGATCACGAGGTCAAGAGATCAAGACCATCCTGGTCAACATGGTGAAACCCCGTCCCTACTAAAAATACAAAAACATTAGCTGGGCATGGTGGCGCGTGCCTGTAATCCCAGCTACTGAGGAGGTTGAGGCAGGAGAACTGCCTGAACCCAGGAGGCGGAGGTTGCGGTGAGCCGAGATCGCGCCATTGCACTCCAGCCTGGGTAACAAGAGCGAAACTCCGTCTCAAAAAAAAAAAAAAAAAAAGAATCCCTCATTCTTTTCAACGTGCATGTGCTAGACACTCAGCACTTCCTCTGGGAAGAGGAATGAGTAGCTTGTTGCATGAGGGCTTCAGCGTGGATGTAATGCTTGGAAGGAAGGAGCCGGAAACCGACTCGGGGGGTTGAGGGTCCTTGTCCTTGCTCCTCCATCCATCCTGAGGATGTGGATGTTCTGGTGGGAAACACCTCACCGTCTCACCTGCTTAGGCCAGGTGTGCTGCTGGTCTAAAAGCAGCACTGAGGGAGTGGAAAGAGCACAGGTTTGGTGTCAGGCAGACCAGGGTACAAATCCTGAGTCTCCCACTACCTTTAAGGCTGTTGGGCTGTTTTCTGATGGGTAATGTGGGGGGAACTTTTCTGTCCAGAAAGTTTCTTGTGAAAAGTCAATGTTTGCAAAGCCCCCGCCAGTAGCACAGTGCCTGGCACATCCCATGGAATCCGTCGGATAGCTGTTGTATCCAGTGTTTCCTAAGCTTCTTCCAGTAAGAAGCTCTTTTTCCCAGGGATTAGTGGTTTTTGAATTAGTGTTTCTCTGAGCACTGTTTGAGAAACCTTGCCCTGTCTGTCATGTATATTTAGCAAACATGAACCGAGCATTTACCATGAGCCAGGCCCTACGGTGTTCTGCGTCCTTAGGAACCCAGGGTCCTAGTAGCCCAAGTTAGGAGGGAAGGGGACAGACAGGGCTTTGTCATCAGAGACCAGAGTCCCAGCTTCTATTTTCTGATGCCAGTTTTGCCTTGCCCCCCAGGGGGAGCTTGCCAAACATTATTAGATACTCTAATGTCAGCATTTTGTTTTATTTTATTTTACTTTTATTTTTGAGACAGAGTCTCACTCTGTCGCCCAGGCTGGATGGAGTACCGTAGCATGATCTTGGCTTACTGCTACCTCCACCACCTGGGTTCAAGTGATTCTTCCGCCTCTTCCGCCTCAGCCTCCTGAGTAGCTGGAATTACAGGCATGCACCACCCTAGCCGGCTAGTTTTTTGTATTTTTAGTAGAGCCGGGATTTCGCCATGTTTGCCATGCTGGTCTTGAACTCTTGACCTCAGGCGATGCACCTCGGCCTCCCAAAGTGCTGGAATTACAGGTGTGAGCCACTGCATCTGGCCTAAGTCTCACATTTTAAAGATAGGGAAACTGGTGCCCCTAGAGGGACAATAACTTGCTTAATGCAGCAACACTGGTGAGCAGCAGAGCGGGGATTAGAACCTATGCTCTCCCCTTGGTGTTCTGTCTCCTGCCCTGTGGACACCCCCTGCCCCCCCACAGCCACCTTTATCCAACAGGCGCGGAGCCTGGAGTAGACTGACTTAGGCCATGCCTAGTGGCTCGGTTAAGGTTGTTAGGAGGCAAAAATACTCGGCTTGTCCTGGTAGAAAGCACACAGCTGTTATGGGGAAAGAGCCATGTCACTGTAGAATCTGTGAATGGAGTCCGGAAGGGGCCCTTGGGTCTTTAAAACACACTCTCCTCTCCCCTTGATGGGCCGCCAGGTGAAGGTTCTCCCTATCTTTTTAGATCTCTTGGGTTGCAAATGTCACAACCTCCTTTGATTTCCACTCTGGAGTCTTGCCCCGGTGACTGTCACAAAGCAATGCTTGTTGCCAAACCTGTGGCTCCTCCTCCTCCTTCCCAGTGGACATGGAGGACGTTGGTCCCCAGCTTTGGTCCTTGCCTTTCCTGAAGTTGAGCTCAGCCCAGTGGCAGTTGGAAATTCAGGGCTGGTGAGGGTGTCTTTACCTTGCCTGTCTTCCTTTGCCCCCATGACCCTTTGTTGGCAGGGGTTGGACTACAGCTCCCTTTAAAGCTCTGAAATTGGATCTGAACAGCTGCTCTCCAGTAAGAGTGGGGAGGGGGTTGTCAGCAGCCAGGGGGGCCCAGGTGGAGGTGGGGGCAGGGCTTTGTCACTGGGAGCACAAGTCTCCAGTTCCTATCTTCTGATTCCCGTTTTGCCTGGATCCCTTCTGAAATGACAGTTCTTCCCTTGCTTTTGATTTTGGGAGATTCTAATCACACCTATGTGATCTGGCCCTGAGGCCTTTAGCTGGAAGGGACTGGATCTTTGGGAAAATTTCCACTAGAACTCAGGTCTCCAAGATCTATGCCCATGTCCTTCTGCATTTAATACAAGGGGACTCCTGGAAGGGCCAGAGGATGGGCCAGGCTCCTGTAGTGGGGGCTCACTCCTTGGTTTGGCGTGGGCAGGCAGGCCCCCATGGGTGGGGACTCTGCTTCCTTTGACCCAAACTTCATGGGAACAATAGACTTCAGAGGAGTCACCAGGGACAGGAAATGGGAGCTGTGCTGAGGCAGGGGTGACCCTCCTGGGGGATGGGATTGCATATCCGGTAGAGGGTTGGGGGCAGTGCAGAGGGCGCTGGGGAGGGGCTGATGACACATAGGGTGGGCCCCTGGGGTGGGGACCTCCTCCAAAGGGGGCTGTTGACTCAGCGTGAAGCTGGAGCTCAGTGCCAGTTCTGTGCTGAGCTTTCGGCCCTGTGTCTTACTACACAAGTCTTGTGTCTGCCAGCCTCTGCTCCTGTCACGCTTAGCCCTGCCAGGACCTGGTCTTCCCCTTACCCTCAAGCCCCTGCGATGTCTCTGTGAATCATCCTGGCCAGGACAAAAGGCTGGTGGTGTTGCTCCCTGGCTGCTCTCCACCTTGGCAGTGAGCCTTGGGCAACTGTGGCTGGAACGGTGATGTTGGGTTGTGGGCAGAGCTCTGGGTAGGGAGTCCACAGGCCGGGTCGCCGGACAACATGAGGGATTTCTTTAGCCACAGGCAGAGCGAGACAGCGGGTGGAACGTTCTGGAGACAGAGGACTCTTATCTTGCCTCTATCTTTGTAAGGGCCGACCAGACTTTTGTGAGAAGGCCACAGCTTGCCCTGGGAGAATTGTGAGTCAGACCACACGAGCTGCTTTCAGCTTGCCGGATTCTCACAGATAGGCTTTGGGGTCCCAAGAGAAGCTGTAGGAGTGACCCCAGAACCACTGCCAGGACCTGGAAGGAGGGTAGGAGTAGGAGAGATAACACATGCTGTCTTGATTTATTTCTTCAGGGGAGCAAAATGGGGACCCTGGAAATGGCAGACTCCTAGAGTTGATTCCTTGCCCAATTCTAGGTCAGGTTTTGTTTTTTAATAACTTTTTTCTTTCTTTTGAGACAGAGTCTCACTTTGTCACCCAGGCTGGAGTTCAGTGGTGCAATCATGGCTCACTGCAGTCTTGAACTCCTGGGCTAAGCAATCCTCATTGCCTTAACCTGAGTGGTTGGGACTACAGGTATGCATCACTACACTTGGCTAATTTGTAAAGTTGTCTGTAGAGATATGGTCTCACTTTTTTTTTTTTTTTTTTTTTTTGACTTTGTTGTCCAGGCTGGCCTCAAACTCCTGGGCTCAAGTAATCCTCCCACCTTGGCCTCCCAAAG